CACCTAGCCCCAGCCCTTGGGCTAGTGGCCCTGGTACCCCTCTAACAGTTCCTCTGACCACTCAGGCCCCTGTGGTTCTCCAACTTACTCCACACACAGCTTCACGGTAAGACAACATTATTTTTTCTTTAACAACATTTTTTTTAATAGTTTTGTTTGAAAATTTCTAAAACAAATGATAACATTTGATTACCTTTTCATTTAAGTGGGCAAATGCAAAAATCGGAGAAGGTTTTTGTGATTTGTTTGTTTGATTGTTTTTTTATTTTTGTATTATTACTTTGATATCTTTCTTCTCTAACCAGATCTCCAAAAGTGAGTGCTGCTGATGGTGGAACCACTTCGCCTTCGAGCAGAGCAGCTGTCCCAGCCCAAGGCCCATCAGCCTCCTCCTACGTTTGGGGGATGTCTGATCTGATGTCGTTTCACAAGGGCGGTGGCGACATCTTCTTGGGCAGCGGGGCCAACGGGACGGTACATCTCTACCGTCATCGTGCAACCGACCATCCGATCGCGCTGAAAACCTTCGAACTACCTGACGACATCAAAGCAATGACAAGGAAGGTTGGTTAATTTAAACTAACTAAATTAACAAAATAATTTGGTTGCCGCCCCTTTATGACTAATTAGAGGAAAGAATGAGAATGATGATAAAAATATAAAAACAACAATACTGATAATGGTCTTGAATTTGTATCTATACTCAAGTTTCTTTGTTTTTGTTCAACCTGACAGGCGAAAGCCATCCAGTCGGAAGCTTTCATCCTTGACGTTCTCGGCAGGGAGGATTGCTTTCCCACTTTTCTTGGATGCTTGGAGATCAGCCCAGGTAAGATAGGTCTTGCGATGGATTTCGTCGGGGATACGATGACGGGAGAGTCCTGGACACTGAGCCGCGCGTGGCATGCGAAAGCTAGCCCTTAGTCAGCAAGACGGGTGAGTACAAATGAGTTTCTCTTTAAATCTTTATGTCTTTGAGCGATCAAAAGTCTTTATGTGAGTGCTACATTATTTTGATAGAGGCCTAGTGGATATGACAGCAGTCTGTGGAAATACATTGATCTCCATTTGCCACTTTCGACCCAGGTTTGTATACAATAATGCTGATTAAATGCATCAAACATCATTTTTGTTAAACCAATTACCGTCCTTTTTTCTTCAAACAGGCTTGCTCTGGCTCTCGACATCGCCAAGTCCCTAGGCCGCATCCATGAGAAAGGCTTTCTCATGAACGACCTTAAAGAAGATAACTGCTTGCTCCGGAAGACACCAACTGGTCGGTGGCAAGCAGTTATTGTGGACTTCGGGCTCGCGTGTCCTTGCGATGCACCTTACTTCTACCGCTTTTCCGATGAAAACAAGGAGAAGTACCGTAGAAGGGTATGCTGATTATTGTCTTTTTTTCCTTCTAATGTAATTTCTATGAAATTTGGTAAATCATTTTTTGTTTGTGAGAAAAGGTCAAAGGGGCAGAACAAGCGAATAGATCAACCTAGGATTATTTGGATAATTATTGTGTTCATATTTTTGTTGACATGTATAGACAATGTGCCCACAGGATCTCAAAAATATTCAGAATTGGGCCTGGCACGCCTCCCTTTCTTGGCTATCTACCCGCATTATCTCATATTATTTCACTCAAGTTTATATCATTTGTATTTCAGTAGCTCGGTGTGCAATGAAGTTGATGTACAGGTAGTTGTAAATATAAACCAACACCTTTTATTTAAAAGAATTTCATCTTATTTTTTACAGGAGGTGTATGTCCACATCGCTCCGGAATGCGCCCTCGATGACGTGCTGACCTCGGTCTCGAGTGACGTATTCCAGCTCGGCCGACTTCTCACCTTAATGGGAGGTGCTACGACCAACGCCGATCTCACCGCCATCGGCAACATCTGTCGACAGAGCTCTCAACTCTGCCGACCTAGCATCGACGAAGTCGTAGCCGAGCTGAGGAGAATGATGTAGACAAACACTGTATTCGATAAAATATCAAATTGTATTTATTTTTTAATTCAATTCAATTTCAAATCAATTTCAATTTTTCTTTCTTTGTTATATTTTCCAATTCCAGAAATTTACAAATCGCCATGCGTTTTTCATGCATTCAAAAGCCGTTGTTACTAAAAGTCGCATTTAACCCACAACATATTACTGCAAGCTCTTTAAAGTGAAAATAAATGACAACCAAATGACTTTTATCGGATAATTTATCTTTGGAGATAGGTAAGTATCTCAACAAACAAAACAAAAAAGATAAAGCAATAATTTGTCAAGACTTTACAGCAATGGACAATTTGCGATTTGTAAATTTCTGCAATTAAGAAAGCACAACTAATATGGAAATTGCAAATGAATTCAGTATTATAATTATATATTGGTATTTGCGGTTATTACATATAGGCCTACACGATGCGCTGGTTTAGTATCTTTTTTTAGTTCATGCAACATAAAAAGTCAATTTTTTTATTTTTGAGGGGGGGGGGGGTCATATTGAAATGTCTGATATCTTTTCGAAATACAGTGTTAGGTAAGTATTGTAAATATTCATTCTATTCTTCGTGTTTTGGTTATGTATTTGATGATAGAACTAAACAGGAATTACTGGCATTACTGTGTCTTGAGTTCATGAAAAACTTTTCAGGTTGAAATTCAAATCATATGAACCAAATGAATACACTTTTAAATTTGAGCAATATTTTTAAAAATGTAACGATATAGCACAAAACAATTTCAAATGACACAAAGAGTTATGTCAAACTTCGAAAAAGCCTACTTGTGTTTTTTTTTTCTCTTTCTTTTTAACAAAAAGCAGACTGCGCCCATGTGAAATCTAAACACATTACCGTCTGATTTGAAAAGAAGAGAAAAATCTTGTGCACTACAACCGACTGCAAGACGGTCCCATGAATGGAATACACGGACATACTTTGTAAATACCGAAACCATGAAAAGTTAAATTAATTCAAATGAAAAGAAATGAAATCATTTGAAATCGAATGAAATTAAATCATTAAAAATAAAACAATATTTGTCTTTGTCCTATGAATCGAACAAGAAAACAATTCACAGGATTTTAATTGGATGGTTTCGGAAAACTTCTAAGCATTCGGAGATGGAATAATCGGTATTAACCGAAGGTAGACCATCACGGTACAGAGCGGGGTGGGGCTCTGTACATGGTAGGGTTCTTATCATTACAGCTTTTCTGTATTATAGGCTACAAAGCCTCAATAGAAAAGTGGCAAAACAACGAAATATAAATAGGTCGTAGACGAGCTGGTGAGGATGTTGTAGTTTTCGACAAGATATCAAATTATCTATTTTTAAAAATTCAATTCAATTCTAATTCAATTTTAATTTCTTTCTTTGTGAATATCTTCTCACAAAATGGCGTTTTTCTATGCACATCACATTTTCACTTGGCAGCCCAAGGAGGGGGGGGGGGGGTTAAACCCCCTACCCCCCCCCCCCCCACCCCCCCTGTAGATCCGCCCCTGGTTTTAGGCATATAATTATGGTCGGATAAGCATATTTTGATACCAACACTACCACCATCTATCACCATTACTGCCACCAAACAAAACATTACATCAACAATACCACATCACTAGTGACAATTTAGCACCGCAAACATAAATATGCTGTATCTTTTGTTAACTTAATATGAAAAATAGTTATATAGTTATACACGAAATCTGTAGGAATAATGACAACATCAAACAAATAATTAATAGTTTTGAACCATTTAATGATATGATATTCGATATCAAACCATCAATTTTTCAACAGATATTGTATATTACGATTATCAATATTTTGATCAGCCACATGGTGAAATATCTTTCTTTACTTCATAATGATATATTGAGATGTAAAGATAATGAATGAACATTAACTGAACAAGTTACTACGTGAACTGTCTAAAAGAACTTGCAATTTTAAGACACTTAATAAGCTTTCATATCCAATCATATTTATTGAATTATGAGTCAAAGACAGAAGCAGTGATTTCACCTTTCAATCATGCCTTGAAATTTTGCAGCTTATCAATTCTTGTGATTTCTTAAAGCCACACTGTCCTACTTATAGCTACTTGCGCCCTCTATATAGCAAACAATGCCTAATCGGTGCCTGTTGGTCCCCCATGATCCTTTTTTTCTTATGTTAATTGAGAGCTGAGTTGATGAGATAGCCACCTGTCAGTGACATCGCTGTGTGGTCTAATCCCTTCTGGCTGAATTAGTACAGCCGGCCTTTAAAAGATATTCCAAATGGATGCAAGGATGATTGAAATGAGAATGAATAATGGTACCTCACAAGCATGTAAACAGCACAGTAAGATTAAAGAACTGATCACATCCTGCTATGTAACAAACAGAATGTGGAGGGGAAACCCCCTTTCCAACCATTTACATCTATTTTGGATAGCTTCCCATAAAGCGAACCATGTTATTTTGTTTCTCCTAATATTATTCACATATCAGATTTCAAACTGATGTACATGCAATATCAGAGATTCATTGTCAGTTATGCAAAATTGTATTTCTTGGCATATGAGCATTTGTAAAAGGATATACCCTACCAGAAAAAAAATTCACAACATGTGAGACCTCTAAAAGAGAGAGAGAGAAAAAAAATCATACCCTCTTTCCCCATATAAGGAGAAATAAATGTTCCATCAAGTACCTATTATGTATGAAAATGAATTTAAAGGGACTTTTAAATGTCTCTGCGATTTATAAGCTTACCACAGATACAACAATGCATCTTTCAGTTCAATTTCAAAAAGAATATTTTCTTTAAATGAAGTCTTGACTACCTTTATCATCATAATTATAATTTGTCATCATTTAGCTCATTCTCAAACAGAGCTACTGTATCATTAATGGTATCATTTTGCTATTTCTAAGTTACTAATCAAGACATGAGTTGCACATTACGTGTCAATAAATTGGAGAGAGCATCACTTTGTTTATTCTTTTGTGATCTTGTTGTTTTTTATCATTCCACTAAATCTCACATAAACCTCTCATTATTAATAATGCTCCAGCAAACTTCTTCATCTTTGCTGGCTAAACATTAGATCCCAATAGGTTGGAAAGAACATCACTTAGTTTATTCTTAAGTGGTTTCACTTTTTCATCATTCAATTGATTCTCAAATAAAGCTATCATCACCAATATAGCTGTAAGAACCACCTCCAACCTATGTATTTCACACAACTAAGTAATTTTTCTAGAGTTGCCCCATCATATAAACAGTTGCTATCAGGATTAGAATTGAATATAACTCGATATCAATTACAACGATGTATTAAAGAAATAGGGATTTCTAAGTTTGCTATTGATCGGAGGACTTGCAATCACCCTCCATCACTCGCAACTTTTAAAAGTCAGGGCCCAGGTCTCGATTGGTAGGACGAAAGAGCATCATCTTTTGCCTGTAGAGAAAAATAGAAAAAACAAACTACAAATTACATAATTTGTCAAAGCATGTTGCACTGCTCTGCTAAATACGGACGTGCATTTTTGCAATAAATTAGGAGGTCGTTAGCATTAAAATGCCTGTAACTTCAAAAGTGTGTGCTTATTTGATACAAACTAATCTTATCAGGAAGTTACAGTCCGCTCTGTTTTTATATTATAATTAATCATCAAAGAGAGAAATCCCTTCAATTTATTTAAAATTGAAAAACATGTATAGAGCAGTTAAAACCCTAGAAGCAAGTTATCAGAAATTTGCTTTCTGGCATGCGTGTGTCGTAACAGCCTTCTACCAGAGGCACAATGACATGTATATCTGAATTGGGATCTACTACAAAACTAGTAGCTTTTGTTTCTGCTGCTTTTTACACATAATCTTTCACACAAATTTATATTGTGATAAGGGAGAAAACTTTTCAAAACCTGGACCAGTAAAAATAAGTAAGCACTTTTGTCCACATGTGAATATCGGACACTGGACACAAGGCAAAGTGCATAAATTACTTACAGAATGCTACACCATGGTGTAAGATTAAAACCCTTCATGTATTTGGGCCATTCTGTTTCATGGAGAAGAGAATAGCCATTCCTAGTCTAAATCAATACTGTGGGCAAGATCTGCTGCCCGTGGTATAGGAGTTCCAAATCTACTTACCAATCTTAAACCATTTGGGTACCTTGGTGGAGCCCATGGCAGTGTTTGACGGTGATGCCTGCCTCTTCTGCTGGGAGGAGGACGTTGACCCCTGACCTGACCCGGGGTCACCAGAGGTCGATGGCCTGTCTTCTATCGATGACGACGATGCACCCGAGCCAGAAGTTGAAGCATTGGATTTATTTTCTGAAGATATTGATCTAGCAATGCCCGTGTTCATGCTGTGTATCAAACAAGAAATAAAACATTTTGATGGTGATGTCATAAATGAGTCATTCCTTTGCCCTTTCTGAGATTATTTTCTTGTTCACTTCTTTAACAAACAAAAACTATGATCCCTTTTCCATTACAAAAATCTTAATACACCCTTTATAATTGTGAAAGAATCTTGGTTGAGTTCCTTTTGATACAAATATATGTTTTTATTCAATATATTTTATGGTGTATAAAATTAAATTGCCTAGTAATATGCAAAGAGAGATAAAACCCTTGTGCACAGTTTTATACGATAACTGATATACTCTCCTTTTCTCCATAATGAACATTTGTCAGTGCGGAGCCATGTGTGCAACGATTAGACCCAGGGTTCCTGAGGGTAGTCATTATACAGTCAAACCTGTCTATAGCGACCGCCGAAGGTAAACACAAATAGTGGGCGATGTAGACAGATGGCTGTTATAAACCGGTAGGCGTTGTGTTGCCGATCGCCTAGCTGTGTACAAACTTGCTCAAGCGATGCTGTTGCTGGTCGCTACACGGCTTGCACTGGCGTTGTGGGCATTTTCGGTGGCCAGCCGAAGCAAAATGAGTGGCCGCTGGTCACGTTAGGCAAGTGGACGTTATGGACAGGTAGTCATTAAGACAGATTTGACTGTATATATATATATATATATATATATTGGGGGGTGGGGGGCATTTGTCAATTGTTGGACCGCTCTCTTAACTTTCTGTTATGTACAGTCAATACTCACTTCTTAGCAACAATGCTCTCAGCTTGCAGAAGAGAAGCCAGGTCCCCCAGAGCCTCCTCATGGAGGTAATTATCTGAAGAAGAAAAAACAGAGAGATCATATTCTAATCTTAGGATTTAATTTGGGTTTCAATTAGAAATTATTACAGCAGTTAGTGTTGATATTCATTTTACCTTACTGCTAAGCATGGGCGTCAATCCTTACGTAATACCTATTGTTCAGGGGGGGATGAATGAATAGATCATCCCCCCCCCCCCCTGAACAATAGGTATCAATTACAGATCTACGCCCATGCTGCTAAGGAAGTGAATACAGGTACCATGAGAATGACAGGTTCAAGTTCTATTGGTGGGAGTTCATAAGTGTAAATTATTGCTGTAACAAAAAGCACTAGCATACAGACTTGGTTGTGCGTTATAAAGCTAAGAACTCCCACTTCCGTAACCACAGGTCAATCCTCTGAGCAGGCAATACTTTCAATCTTAATTATTCATTACAATTATTATTTATGCCATATGCCAAGAATTGCCATACTCTCACAGCTTTCAAGAAGTGTCTTAAAACACATCTTTTCTAATTTGTTGTCATTTTCCTCTCTGTTTGTAATTAATGTAGCTTTGTATGATAATGTTCTATCTCTCTCTCTATCTTTGTTTGTTTGCAAGTATTTCTTGTTTAAAAGGCGCTTTATAAATGAAATATTATTATTAAAATTATTATTATCAAATAAAAATAAAAATTGATGTTTTACCATCTAAACAATTTTCCAAAAATTTCAGTAGCATGCAGTAAGCCTTCTTGCTACATTAAAGAGATATTCCCCTTCTAACCTTCTTACCTTTTTGAACTTGGGAACCAAAATAGACAACAGCAGCAGGGAACAGCTTGGCCTATAAAAACATATAAATCACAATAATTGATTGATTGATATGTATATCGAATTAAAAACATAGATTTTGAAATACCCTTGATTTATACTGGAAGACAAGGAATCTCCTCAGATCTTCTTGGAATCTCTCAGGAAAAAGCAGCTGCAATCCCACTTGTTCACGCCCATGGTATCAAATATCTGCTCTTAAATCTGAAAAATATCTTTTTGACTGATCAGGTAATTAAGCATTCATGTCTTGGCCAAAGGCTCTTGCAAATGTGCAGAGATTTTTATTCTTGATTACTCCAAGCAGGTTTCTGAAAATATCAGCTGTTTGAAAGCCACAAGGGCCTTAACTCTGTTCTGAAGGATAAGATGTAACACCCTTCTGGCGCCCAGGAGACAATACAAGATAATAAAGCATCCCACACTATTAAAGTGGCACAACATCCTGATAGGTTAATAATATATCTTGTTCCATTATTTCAAGTACCAGGTATATGTATGAAAATAAAAATAAAAGGCATCCACTTGTTGTTAAGGCTTACCTTGAAAAGAGTCAAAGTCGTGTCTTTCAAAATGGTCTTTGGTGGTGTGGTGTCTGGAGAAAAAAAAGAATCAGTTGCAAAATATATGAATTATGAATGAAACTAAAAGCAGAAAGACAAATATAGAGGGGTTTCGAAAATTAGTTGAGAGTAAATCTGTCAACCTCCATTTTGATTAGGACAAGTAATTGATGCTAAATACTTCTAATATACAACAAGAAAATATTTGCAGATGATTCCTGTTTTATGTATTTATGACTGATAATCTAAAATATTGTTCCATATACTTACAGAGATAAAACTGTTGATCTTTCTCAGCCAAATTTGATCTTACAAATTCCTTCACAGCTTCAACTAGAAAAAAAAGGATATATATGATACAGCATTTTATGAAAGAAATGATACATCATTTTCCACCTTCAAGTTTTGAATTTTTTTGCCTGTTGGTATTCCATGTATAAAGAGAGAATAATTAATACTCTTTCATTACATCAAATCTGATACAAATGGTTGTACCATGTTATTGTTTTTACCGGTACATGCTTTTTACAAGTTTTTAAAATAAAGACGTATTAATAAATTCAATTCAATTCAATTAAATTCAATTCAATTCGAATTAAGGATGAAAATATAGCTGAGTGCAACAATGGTCCAACACATCATTACTTATCAGCTTGTTGTAAGATACAGAAATGTGAAGTGTAGTACACTTAAAAAACGTTTTAATTTTCCAACAGAATAGTTCGGATAATACTTTAAATTTATGATAATATGGTATGGAAATATTAAGTTTTGTTATGATATGTACATATATTATGTAAAAAAACATTTTGACATGAAGAAATTATTGTTTGTATATGTTGTATTATACCTTACATTTATATGTTCTTTGTTATTCAGTTATAATATATTTGGAAAAATGCAGAAATAAAATTTTAAAAAAATTAAAAAAACGCTTTAAACAAAAAACGGTAAACCTTGGCATGTATGCAGAGCTGCCAACCTGTCATTCTCAAAAAACATATTATTCAGCATGAAAAAGCATATTTTTAGGTGAAAAACATATTTTGCCTGTTTTTGATTTTTTTCTTTATTTTCCCTGTAAAATACTATTGCAACTATGTTTCTTTGATTAAAAATGTGTTCAATCATTGACAGCTGCCGACCTATCAATTAAAAAAAAAAAAAAAAAAAAAAAAAAAAAAAGTTAAAAAAAAAAAACATTTTCAAGGAAAAAAAATTGTATTTTTAAAAATATATGTTAAATATATTTACCTATTTTATCGGAAAATTTAATAATTTAAATACATCACAGAATTTTAGAAAATCTGAAAATAAAACGCTAAGTCAATGAATATGAGGGTCGAATCAATTTGTACACAAAGTCAATGCATCAGCAGGGTCCGGTGTTTGTTTTTCATTTGACTTTTTGAAGATACCATCACATTCGAAGGGCTTGCGATAATCGAAAAAACTTGTAATAAAATCACTGATTTCTTGATTTTTAGCGCTTTTTTGGAGAAACTGTTTCTTAAAACTGGGCTAAGCCCCCGCATGCTTTGGAAATATGGCTCTGATTCCGCATTTTTGACAGCAAAATTTGGCTTTTAGGATGGATTTTTGGAAGTGACAACGGGACTTTCTTGTACTAGTTAGTGAGTGACAATGTGTGTAATGCATTGGTATGTATTTTGCGTGTGTTAAGGATATGGCAATACACCAGTTTACAGTTGTGTGCGCCATTTTAAACAAGGCCAATGACCTAGAGGTCATGCCTGCGTAAATTAAGATTGCGCCCATGCAAATTATGATGATATTACTGCCTGCGCGCTGCGTTGTGCGCGCATATCATCATTTGCATGGGCGCAATCTTAATTTACGCATAAATACCAGAGGTCAGAGGTTATTGGCCCCAATTTTTGGGCCAATAACCTCTGACCTCTGTCTGCGCATGCGCACTGATACAACTGTAAACTGGTGTATTGAATTCGCTGGCTCGATACTCTGTACATGTACCGTACTGTATGCATGGACTGGGGAAATGTGCACGTCTTTGAGTGGTGTACATCCCGTGTTGTGTGCAATGCGGATGCGTGCGCGCTGCAGGAATCGCCAATACAAAGCAATAGCACAACTCTGCATATGCTCGTTCTCACAGCCAGCCACGTTTGCACAGCCATACTCGAAACTTTCGAAAAACGTATTTTAGCACAGCAAAACGTACAAACGTATTTTACCCCCAAAAAACGTATTAATACGTTAAAAACGTACTACTTGGCAGCTCTGTGTATGTGAACAAGCCTTTACCTTTTTCCTGAGGCCTGAAGAACCCTTGGAGAATGATTCGGTCTGGGAAGTGAACTCTAACAACAACCTTCAAAACAAATTAAAAAAGTGTAAAATCATAAGTACGATTTTTAACAAATTGTCACTTGAATAGCACTACTTCCTTTCATCAATTATTTTACAAGTATAACAATCATTCATGTTATTAGGTTATTGAGGAGGCGCGATAGCTCAGTCGGTAGAGCAGTGGTCTCGTAATCCGGTGACCCGGGTTCGAAACCAAGGCGATGTGCTAGTGCCCTTTGGTAAGGCATTAATCTTCATTACCAGGTCCCTCGGAGAGGACCTAAAGCCGTCGGCCATCTGGTTGCTTACTTACAAGCATCTATGCTTTCTTAGTAGTCGGGTAAAATAACCACCACCACTGTATAAAAGTTCTGCACATGGTTGTATGGCACAGTCAATTTCTTACACTCACCAAAACTCTACACCAAACAGTATACCTAACTCCTACCCTAACCTTAATCCCAACCTAAACCTAAAATCCAACTGCAACACTAACCCTCACCCAATATCTTTAATTTACAAAAAGCCTGGAGCAATTGGAGCAAGGTACTGGCAAAATGTTCTACCCATTTTCTATACAGAACACACAAATCACCAGAGTACATGTAAACACAATGAAAAAAATTACAAAGTACAGCCCAAAACTGAACAATGGGAAAGTCAACAGTCCAGCCATTAACTAACCCCATCTCTGAAATGCAAATAAAGGATCATGGCTGTGACACACACTATCATGATTGCTGCATGGTCAGGGATTGCCTGAATCTAACCTTATCATATTTCTTCATCTTCTTCTGATCCTGAGCATCTCTCATAGCCTTTGTTGTGAGGTTCCTCTCAGAATCAGCACTATAGAAAGAAAAACAGGTATGATCTTCAACAGCAAATCCAGATCGAGATATGGTTGTGGTGGCATACTTCTTCCATTGAACAAATTTACTGGTAACTAACTTAGAAAATTAAATTTTTACATAAGTCTGTTTAAAGGTACTATGTCCCTTTTGCAGCCAACCTCAAATACTGTAGAACTTTGCAGGAATTATGAATATGTCATGTATGTCCTATCTGTGAAATTTGAACGTTTGCAGTGTCCTAATATTCTAATTATGCAAGGAAACCCGTTTACTTGCTAGACTTCACTGTCAGACACTATTGAGTGACTGACTGGCCTTTTTTCTTCTTTGGTAATAACATGCATAAAATGAGCTGTAAAGGGTACATGAGCATTTGTCTACATCAATAACCCACTTCTTAAGATGGCCAAAATTAAACTGATTGAATCTTTGCGCAGCATAGAACGTATGACCATTCGGTACAATGGTCTGAAAATCAAGACTATTACTTATTGGCTCTATAGCTCCTAAGTCAATTTGACAACTAATAGTCTTTATTTTCCCACTTGAAGACATTTTCAAGCCCCACCTTTTTTAGGGAAGTTCTAAATTAGTATTATCTTTCAAATGCCGTCGGAATTTAACCTTCTGCAAATGGGACATAGTACCTTTATCATTGATCTGCTCGTAAAATCAACTTATAAAATGGCTCCCAGACCGACAGAGCAAGAATACATCAACTGTGACTACATTAAACAGTGAAATGTTGCTTTTAAAAGTTTGACTGACGTATCATTAGCAGTTTCAAAACCTTGATATGTATAAATGATGATTCCCCTCCCCCCTTCTTAGGTTTATTGAACCCCTCCTTCAAGTTATTAGTGTTTTTAGATGATGAATTGTAAAATTGGAGTGTGTTTAATGATGGAAAACATAGCAAATGCATATTTTCATGACTGGTCTTTGCCACATAGAAGAGCATAGATAGATGCGAAGGGAAAAAAGGGAAATAAGGATGCAAAAGGGGTGAACATTTCTAGAAAAACCTGCCTCTCCCTTTTGATTTGGACGGTTCTTTGACCACATCAACATAGCGTACTTTACTACTACAGTCCATTGCTCATCCATTGCATAATATAATATATAGAATATATACAATATTTATAGCGCTTAGAGACTTTGGTGGTAAGCGCTTTATAAGCACCGTTTTTCATTTATCATTTATTTAATTATCTACTCACCTTTGATGTCTAAGATTGGAGAGCATCCTCCTCACATCATCCACTGTAAGGTCAAAGAATTCATCCGGAACATCGGAAGAACCATGTAATGTGAAAGGATCCTGATCGGGTGAGAACACTAGTTGATTCCTATCACATGGCTGTGAAAAGAAAAACAAAGTTTCTCTGTTAACACCAATATACAAAATGTCTAAAAATGTTTGAAAAAAGAAAGTTATTCTCATATAGTTAGAACCTGATCCCCCCTCTCAAAAAATTGTGATAAAGAACAACAACATTTCGTTATTAACACCAATACACAAAATGTTGGAAAAGATTACCTTCAAAATGAAGTCACCACAGTTGGACCCCCCCCCCCCCCCCAAAAAAAAAAACAAAAAAAAAAAAACAACAGTTGATTTCTATCACAAGGCTGAGAAAAGAAGAACAATATTTCTCTGTTAACGCCAATCCACGAGGGCCCGAATTCACAAAGGAAGGTTTGTCGTCAAACCAGGTTTTTGTACGTCATATGACGCGTTTTGACGCGGTTTTTACAAACCTGGTTTGTAAAAAACAAGAGGTTTGACGAAACAAAAGGAGGTTTGTCGACAAACCTCCTTTGTGAATTCGGACCATAAGGTCTGAAAATGTTTGAAGAAAAGGAAGATTCTCAAATGGAAGTCACCAGATAGTCAGAACGTGACCATCGCTTCTACAGGTAATGTGATCACGAGCTATTTTTGCATACATAATGAGCCCTGTGACCTTTGAACTTGTGACCCCAAAATCTAATCAGTTCATTAGCTCTGCAAGATACAAACATGACCCAAGTTTGGCAGGAATCCACCAATCAGTTCTAGAGACAACGCGATCACAAGAACAAGACATACAGATGTACGGACAACCCAAAAACATAATGCCTCCGGCGGCCCATAAAAAGGGACGATTCTCTCTCTCATAAATATCCAAACCCTTCCCCGCTCCTTCTCTTGCCTACAAAGGCAGACATACCGAACACAGCGAAATAAAATGAGTTTATACTTTTACTAACTGAACAGTGTTCACACACATGAATCACGTTATAAACTTTCAGGGCCTTCGACAACAACTTTGAGACAAAAATAGTATAGGATTTTAGAAATGGAGGTTTTCCCATAGCATTATATATCATTTGCATGAACAAAAACTCACTTCATTAGACTTTACGGACAGAAGTTTAATCACTGATATCTACCTTTGAACTAATGTCTTGCTTCTCTTTGCCCTTTCCTTCATCTGTCGCATCAGTATGCTTTGGTTCTGGAAACTGATAGAATGGAAAGTTAAGTTATGAAAATGTTAACGTTTATTCAACATACACTGCCATTTTACTGAATGATAATTGGGCTATAAATGGATAGGGAGTATGAAGAAAATAAAGAATAATATAAAAGGGGCACACAAAACCTAAGTCAAACTTGGACTCCATTCAGGCCCTTTTTTATGCAAGCATGTATGGGTCTGTTGAGTTGTCTGCTCACATATCGCTTACATGCTACTTGAAAGTACATATATCGATGTAAATCAATGACAATTCATGAAATCTCGTTACAGATATAAAGTTTGAAGCTCATATTTTGAATAATGTATTACGACTTGGAAGTGCTAACAAACCAAACAAATTGTGTTGATAGGGACACTTTAAGTTAGACATTGACAATAATTACCTTAAAGTCAGCAAAGGCATGAACAGGTGCCTTGGGTTTGGTTGTGCGAGGTTGACGGTTCAGGGCTCCTTGTGATTTCTGGCTCATAGACTCCTGCATGGCTTCCTGCATTGATTTCACCATCTGAAAAAGGTATCAGTAAATTGTATTTTCTAAATCGTTAATTTGGTTATCAAACAACAAGAGAGATACAGTTAACTCCACCAAGCTCTAGGTCGCACAGGTCAAATAGTTTTTTTATTTTATTTACCAAACTATGCAAAACAGGCATTATTTACGCTGTCTAATACCCCATTCACAGTGGTTTTGAAATTTGTAGCGGCGTTGTAGCGGAGCGGCGACACCGCCATAACACCGCTACAAATGCATTCACAGTAGAAAAGTTATCCCGCTGCAGCAGCGGGATAAATATCATGTACCCATTCACGCTGCAGCGGGTGATTTTTATTACCTCCGTAACAAACACGTGTATGCATGGCTCATGACCCGCGAGTGACCCCGATATGACCGGAAATACTTGCTTGAAATTGCGCGGTAAACATGTCAAGTTGCTTTTTGTATCCTCGATCATATTACTTTTTAAAAAACTAGCATTTTTATTGCTTCCAGTCAGAATATTTTAATTTTTTGAAGTGTGAAATATTTTTATTTGGATAATTATAATACCTACATAATAATAAAATCAATTTGAATCCACTGGTTACTTTATTTCTATTTCACTTTATGTTCCCCATTGCTGTAGAAAAGAGGTCAGTGATAGGTAAGTAAACAAATCACACGTGTTTGTCGCGGTGTTATAGCGGAGAGCCTTCACACTGAGTAAACACCGCGACAGCAGCGGGACAGTCCCGCTGCTGTCGCGGTGTTTGAGGCCACTGTGAATGGGGTATAAGTCAAATTTTGCACAACAGATCAACTTATGTAGAGTTCAAGTTCTGTACTGATTTTTCAAGCAAGTGATGGGGGTAGTCGTGATGGTAGAGTTGGTGGTAAGAGTACTTGGTGGTGGTAGAAGTGGCAAAAGAAGGAAATTAAAAATAGAAGGGGGAAAAAAAAAGAGAAAGATGAGGAGGTAAAGGAGGAGGAAGTAGAAGAATAAGACAAAGAAGAAGAAGAAGTAGTAGTAGTAGTACTAGTAGGATTTGTAGTAAAAGCAGTTGTAGCAGCAGTACCAACAGTCAAAGAAGCAGTAGTAGCAGCAGTACCAACAGTCAAAGTAGCAGTGGCAGTAGTAGTAGCTACATTGTAGTTTTAATTATAGTGAGAAATATACATAGTCAAAATTGACTAATACAATAAGTGGTGGGTTATGTAGAGAGAGAGTACTAAAAATAATACCTCAAGTCTTTAATTTGTTGCTCTAGACATCGTTATTGAATCTATTGCGTCACATTAAGGTAAAACAAACGGTGGCAACTGCAACAAGCCACCGGGCAAGTAGTTTCAACATGTCCCACTGGACACAGGAGCAAACATGGAATGCTCCCCAGGGAGTGGAAAATGTGCATACATTGTGTGCGGATAAGCCTGAATCCGATGACCGGGGTAATAATATATCTGTAAAGCACTAAGGCACATCGTTGTATCAATGTATTGGGGGCTTTATAAAAGCAGAATATCATTATTATTATTATCATTTAAATAATGACAAATGGTTGAATATATCTCACCTCTTCCTCTTTCTCCAGTAAGCTCTGTATCCTTCTCCTTGCATACTCATCCAGGCTGATTCTTTCGTTCTTCTCAATGTCCTTCACAACTTTCTCGGTTTTCTCTTCCTTTGGGATTTCTCCTCCCCCTTTGCTTGTAGAAGGTATCTGCTTTTCTTTTCGCCTCACACTCGTTTCTTGAGCTACAGTCCTTTCCTCGAGATGTGAGCTATTGCTCGCATTTTGAGGGCACTCTTGGGCTCGGGAATTGGTATTCTCTGATTTCATTTCCATTGCATCGACTTCCATGGCAGATTCATCCATATTATCAGAAGTAGCGCAGTCCATGGCTGTATCACTCGAGCCAGCTGGCTGGGCAAGTTCATTTGTGGGGGGTGTGTTTTCAGTCACTGGAACTGGAGGTGCTGGTTTTGATTTAATTTTAGGTAGTGAATCTGAGTCTGCTGCAGGAGCACCCCTATGTGCATCAGTGGAATGACCAAATGTTGCAGAACTCTGTGGTGTGGTGGAAGAATCCATTTGATTTGGAGGGGCAGCAGCAGTAGGACTTGGTGCAGCAGGGACTTCTGGCTTGGTCTCAGGCTGAGTTTTCTTTGGAGGAGGGGGAAGTTCAACGTCTCTGTGCAATAACCTTGGATATATCACCAAAAAAATTTAATGTAATTTTGTTTTGTCTTTATTATCAAGAGTACAAAATAGGCAATGTGATATTTATCAATTTCCAATACGACACATATCAATCGTGTAAACAACTACACTGTATGCATACAATGACTGCTTAAGATGACAATTTGCAGTATGTTATCATACAGTTATCATACACTGTACATATATGAAGAATTCTTATGCTCATATATTCCAATCCTTCAATACTGGTGATCAGAAAACAACTACTCGAATGATGTTAGCTGGTAATCTGTATTAGTGTAAATAGAATCCTGTCAGATTTGATTTTATACGGTAAAATGTTTATACCGCGCATTAAGATTCTAGACCTCTGATTGGTCAAAACTGCAAGCATAACATTTGCTACTGACTGCTGGGCAATGCTGCAAAAAAATTGACTGGGTATGGCTCTAATGGGGCGTCCAATGCAAGGACGCAATGAAAGCGGTTAAAGTCAACAATGGATTGACGCCGTGGATATGCGCACTTCTTTGAGAATAGTAAATTTCCCCACATTTTTAATGAGATATTTTGTCAAAAATTCCTTTTTTGAGAATCCCCGAGCGAGATGCAGTATATAAAACAAATATTGACTACTGAATTTTCAGGTCAAGGTCAAAACTATAGCTCCTTCGTAACCTTGAGCCTGCACTGTGCCCCTCCACTTCGTTTTGGGTCACAGTACAGTTTGAAGATCACCTTGGGCTTTAGCTATAACAGTGCTCCTCAAAGCAGTCAATATTTGTATAATATTCCCTTGCACACTTGTTGTCGTTGCTGCTGTTAGTGATGCTGTTTTAGAGTAAGTGATTGCTAATGCTAGCTTTTCTTATCACTTTACAAACATAACCTGAGGCAGATAACTAAACAATCATCATGAATCCATTGGCGACATCGATTCACATGCTTAGGTATCTCTCAAACTATATTGCTGTTGAAGACGTACATAGAATCCAAGACTCTTCCCCCCCCCAAAAAAAAAAAAAATAAATAAATAAATAAATAAATAAATAAATAAAAATAAAAATAAATAAATGAAATTAACAACAACAAAAAAAGAGGGAAAAAAAATGAAACTAGTCTAAATTTAAAAAATTAAAAAATAAATAAATAAATAAAAATAACTAAACAATGGTCTGCCTTTTACCTGATGATTGCTCTTCCTCCAATCAGTCCAAGACCTTTCAATGTGGTAGCCTTCAACCATTCCTCACCAATAATCTTGAGAGAATGACATAGAAAATAAAAGGACATTAAAAACCCTACATATAACTGTAAAAGTTGTCTAGATCTAGTCATTTTTTTAACACAGTTTGTTTGTTACTTATTCAGGTATGGTGTTTACTCTCCAATCATGTAGATAGATGCCATGCACCAGAATAGTCTGTCATTTTTCTATTGCTGACTGTTTCCCATGAAGAGGCTTCAATTATGCCTCACGCCACTCAAAAAATGTAAACATGTGGGAAAAGGTGCAGGTACAATAGACCATTTTCGTAATGTTATCAATTTAATGCACAAATCTTTATCAAGTGCCTTGTTAAAATTATTTCATTCACCCGTTATGAATAATTCTATTTCAATAGTCAGAATACAAATCGATACATTAATTGTTGCCAAGAAGGAGAAACATTATACAGTTATTGACTGGCAGGGGGTGTAATATAACATTATTTGGACCGCTGAAGGGAGTTATATTTCCCAAGTGGTTATATTTTCCCGAAGCGCGCAGCGCTGAGGGAAAATATGGTCACGAGGGAAAATATAACTCCCTTCAGGTCCAAAGAATGTTATATACCCCCTGCCAGTCAATAACTGTTATATTAGATAGCCTTGGTTTTTTTTATTTTTGTGGGGGGGGGGGGGGGGGGTCCATATTTTTTTTAGCCCGAAATTTTTTTATTTTTTTTCGGGGACAATCAAAATTACGGAAAAATAATTTGTCGAGATCACCTTAAAAAAAAAAAAAAAAAAAAAGCATTTTTCGGGAAACAAAAAAAATTATTAAAAAAAAAAAATTATCCAAAAAAGCATTTTTTGGGGAAAAAAAAAATTTCTAGGGAAAAAAAAATTCATGAAAAAAAAAATATTGAAAAAATAAAATGGCCCTCGATAATGGTGTAATGTATGTAGTTGGTGACATACAGTCCTCAAGAGGGCGACATGCATTGATTAACAATATATTCATTTCACCAGCCGGTATAATATAACACTGAAAAGTGACCGGCCAGGAAAATATAACAATTTGGATCCTCGCAATTGATATCACGTGACGAGCTCTGGACCAATCACATCTCGGTATCTGTCTAAGCTATCTAATATTATGACTTTATTATCCTACTAACAATATGTTATGTATGCTAATTGCATTCTGATTATTGAAATACAATTATTTGTAATAGGTGCATGAAATAATTTGTAACGAGGCACTTAACAAAGATTTGTGCATTAAATTTGATAACATTACGAAAATGGTATATTGGCATAGGTGAAGGTGCCTCACCTCTGACGCTAACCAGTTATGTACTTGATTCTCTTACTGCCATAGGCTTAAAGGGATCCGGTAACTTTGTCTCAGATTCTAAAACAAAATCCTGGATTCAGCTCATGTTGCAATGATAATTATAAACCTTTAGGTCAGTCAGGAACCCCATGACTTTTACAAGCCGATAGCCTATCTGATTACCAAGATATTTATGATTGATATCAACATTTCATTTTTTGTTTTCCTAATGGTTTTTATAACACTACAGTCTATAGGGAAAAATGAGTATGGTAAAACCGGTCACTCAAATTTTGTTAGGGCTTCAATATTACACCATTTCAAAGACACTGATAACACGTAGCGCCATGCATCTCAGATTTAAAATTCTTAAACTATGCCTTTAATACACGATCCACTATATTCCTCTCAGCAAATGGCTTACAATCGTACAAAATAAGAATAAGTTATCAATCAATCTTTGAACTTAGTACCTCCTCTCTCATGTAGATGCAGACTGGATGAACAGCGGTCCCACTGCTGGATGATGAAGGGCATGTCAAGGACGGTCTGTACACAACAACAAATGAAGAGATAAAAGGGGGATAGTATCCCAATGCACAAAATAGAAAAGGCTTGCATATATCTTGCACACAATGCAAACTGCGTTTAATAATAAATAATACACAAATTTATATAGCACTTGTGTCATAAAAGTTTCAAAATGCTGTACACAATCAAGATTACTTCAGAAAAATTTATATTACTAAATGTAATTAACATTACTTAAAATACCAAAAAATAAGATATTACTAAAGAAATTAGCATAACATGTCAATTCCTGGGAAAGTTAACATATTATATTGAAAATAGCAACAATTTAAAAAAAAAAGACATAATGTAGGCATTGTAATACAAATTCAAACTTATTTTATAGTTATTTGATTAGTTCGGTCTTTTGTATAAGCTGGCATCCATTTGTATCATGAAATTGTGACAAAATCAGAAGAAAAAAAAGTACCAACAGTTGCATACCTAATAGAAATTATTGGTGAGATATATACGAGAGATAATATAAACATAGGCAACTTTGTGGGGAATTTTTAAATGAAATATTTTCATGATCTTTAAAAAAATAAAAATAAAAAAATTGTAGACACTACACAGTCAATGTATATTATCAAATAATTTGAAAACAGTGATCTGTTTACTCAAAACATGCCTTACTCCATATTTTGTGTCATGGTGAGTGAATTGCTTACAAATTCAACATTTCCTATTTACCATTTTGTTCTTTATGAGTGGATGGGGGGGGGGGGTGCAGGGGCAAGTGAAATCTTTTAGAAACAGACTGTAGGGTAAGCACATACAATGTACTTTTAACACTGCATTTATAAATTTAAGTCACAAGTCAAAATTTGAAAATCACCAACGCATATATAAAAAGGGACCAAAAGATATATTCTCAAATTACAGTCAAATCAATTTTTTTTTTTTTTTTTTTTGGGGGGGGGGGGGGGACCAAACTATGCAAAACATGTATTATTTTCACTTCCTCGGTAGCATTGGTCCCAACCAAGATGCAGAATCCCAATTTCAAAGAAATGAAAAAGAGCCAGGCCCGATTCTCACCTGTCGCTACTTTGACCCTCCCAGTGCTGTAGAATGTCCCAGAGCGATATTGTAGAGTCAAAGCTATGCTGGAGGCGTTCGCCCGTGAATAGCTGTAGCGCCACCATGGTTGAGCCAGAGAGACTGCGTGAGACGTCCGCTTTGACCAGCTCTAGCTTGGCATTGTTGATGAGGTTGGCATAGCGGAAAGGTACCTGGACGTCAAGGATGGTTCTCTGATGTCTGGAATGGAGGGTAAAGAAATAAATCATTTTTTGCAGTGGATATCTTAAAGCCCATCTGTACTAGTTTACAGGAGGGATAAGACCACCCTGCAAGGTTACTGACAGGCGGTTATCTCATCAAATCAGCTTTCAATTAAAATATTTAAGACAAAAGAGGATCATCGGGGACCAATGGTCACCAATTAGGCATTGTTTGCTATATAGAGGGCGCAAGTAGCTATAAGTAGTGCAGTGGGGCTTCTATATAGAGTCAAACCTGTCTAAGTGGCAACCTCTCTGTAAAGGCCACCTGTCTTCATGTATAGTGGCCATGTAATGTGTCTCCACTCGAGAAGGGAAATTTTTGTTTAAGGACCAGTCGAGGAAGGCCACCTGTCTACAGTGGCCACTTTTTCTATTTTCCTCAAGTTACTTTAACAGACATGTTGACTAATATTACTACTGACCATTACAACACATTGTTAACCTTATTGATGAATTGTTGACAAGGTTTGCTCTCTGATGTCAGTGGAGAGAAACACAGGTAAGAATCTGGGATTATTTAGAGTGGTTATCCATGTAGTACTATTGGTAATCATGTATAGCACCAATGACAATTATAATCCACTGTTAATAACCTTTTTAATCAATTGTTGATAAGGACCAGTCGGCTGGCTGCAAGAAGGCCGCAAGAACTATGAATTGCCAATGGCAGTACCCACCTTCTTGCAGGCAGGCGACTGACTACTCTACAGCATTTAGACATTCAAATATAATTGCATTGTGATAATTAAGATACTCTGTTGGTAATCCTATCAATCTATGTTTATTTGATAACTACATGTAGTTCATGCAATTCATCATAAGGATTGCTCACTGATATTTGTAATTATTAGGTCGTAATGATGTCTTTCTTGATGGACAACCAAAACAAGGCAAGAAGATACAGTATATCTTATTGCCTTGACACAAGTATGCCTGAGAAACAAAGTAAACTAAAAATTAAACTTTAAATTTTTCTGTAAAAAAAATCAAGCACGTATCCTAGAGAAATTGGAAGGTCTAGGTTTTCAGGGAACTTACTTCAAGTTGTAGTCATCTGCGTTGAACTTCTGTTTCTTACACACTATCTCAATGACCTGAAAAACAAGATTGTGTCAAGATTGTATAATTAAATTTACTCAATAAAACCATCTACAATATTGTGTACCGGTATATAATTATAATCTCATATCTTAAGTTTACACAGCCGTGGTGGCATTTACCAGTATTAAAATAATGATCAGGCATATTCAGACTACTGATATGTAATGTGAAAATTCTACACTGCTCAATTTAGTAAATGTTAAAGGTTTCTTGCAATTAAGGCTGTGCATAACTGTGTAATGAGGTACTCGAGTACACTCCCAGGCAAAAAAAAAAAAAAAAATAGCGGCCGTGTATTCAAGTATGAAAAATCGTACTTAAGCAGTTGTCAACAATGCGAGTACTCTAGTATTCGAGTACTTGTCGCAGCCTTACTTGCAATATGTGCATTGACTAGTATCTTTATTTCTTTTAGACAAATATATGGCGAAGCCAAAGAGATTATCATTAATTTATTCAACACAAACAAAAATATTATGTTTGCTTCAAAAGTACTTTTGAGGGTTGTTTCACCATCATAAGTACAAGATCAACAACCCGACACTGTCGCTTGACTTGTATGCTAATAATGTTGCACAAAACAATCTTTGCCAAAACGAGCGGCAACATCACTGACGAGAAACTTGTCACGACTACAAACCTGTCATATTTATAAGAACACCATCACAAGTCTTTAAATGAGTCTTTAGCAGTGAAAAAATTAATACTGACAATTTATTCAAAAATCTATTCCTTGATTTCCATGATAATAGTTTATCAAAAAGTTCTTAATATTGGTGTTAATAGAAAAGTATCATACAATCACACAAACTATAATGTTTTAATGCCCCATTCATGTCTTTGTCCCTTTAACAATATAACCTACCCTCATATTACTTGTATCCTTCTGTATAAATATTACATGTTCTGGTTTTCTGAAAGAGAGTTGAGTTTTGATCACCATTACATTTGTAGACCAATACCTTCTTTCTAGCTGGCTCTCTCTTCATCTAGTGTTTTACATACCAGTATATGTGGAAGTTCATAATGATGTACCGTAACTGATTTGATTCTCCAAAGTTTGGAGATAATAAATACTCTCATATGACTCCAGAATTACAAGTCTCTCCTTGCTGCTTCATTTTATGTACCTCTCCTACTGCCAATATCTCATACACCAATCCCAACACAACATGACTCAGTATTAAACATAGTTGAAGGTTGATAAAAAAACTTTGAAGTTTTTGTATGAAATGTTATTTATCATCTTCCTTTTACTGTATTAACCCTCTAGCATGCAAAAAATCCTGACAAAATTCTCTAACCACAAAGCTATTCATGGTTTTCCTTGAAATTCTCCTAACCAATTTTTCATGAAAATAAGACATAAGACAGGCTTTTAAAAATCTTTCAAGTTTCAACATTTAAATGTCTGGAATGGTAGAGTATATGGAGCCAATTTATTGCTTTGTGAGGATTTTAATTCACCTAAAATGTAATTAAATTGTAATAATATAGTTGGAGAATTAAGGAATCGATCAGATCAGTTTTCCCAATTTTCATCATGATAATGTCTGTTTTTACTCACAACTTTCAGATTACATTTAATAGTACATCTAGCATTGCAGTCACTTCACTGTACCTAGTCCTAGTTAGCACCATTTTCTCTCATCTGAACAATGTTACCAAGCCAAGATAACCAAGATTTATATTATTTTTCCACTAATTGGTCTACCATAGAAAAGGTGACTGCCAAAGAAGAAACAGTCTGTATTTACAGATCCATGAGAATGACAACATGTTAATGTGTAGATACACATGTATTTCTCCACATTATTTTCCATTTTCAAGCATAACCTTGTACCTTGGTACAAAATTACGAATCATATCACACAATTTTTTAATAAGTAAATATTAAAACCATGACTTAGGTTTAGATTGAGTCATTAAATATCTTGTTATTATTTCCTCAATATTAATAAAATCAGGGTATGGTCAGGGAGATGCGACTTTAATGGAGGTCCTGTCTCAAAAGATTTTCCTCGAGGGACAGATATTCAGGATTAACTTGGCTATTACTTAGCTTAACAACAAGAAATGTAACCCTCTCCAGCCATCAAATCCAACTACACCCGCCCTCATCACTCAGAACCCCTCTGGCAATCCAAATGTTACGAAATTGTTATTAATGTTTCTCCCATTTCCATTTCTTTTGTACAAAATTAAACTGAAGGATGTGTGCAAAACTTATGTACTTTTTAGCACTAATGTTTGTATGAGGTCACTACCGTCTACGGTTAAACCTCAAACTGTTTGTAGGACTAAGACTGGAATGGTCAACATCATGAACAAGGCAACTTTTACTTCTCTAGCTGAGCAATGCATACTGCTAGTGGCGGTCTACGGGTCATGAAAATATCCCAGGCCGATGGCGACGGGCAGAATTAGACATGCCGTTTGCTTCAGCAGCTTTTGCAAACAATGATACAGCATAATTTCTGAAGCAGAATTAAACTACAATCTTCCAAAAGCACAATTCCAGTCATACGCCACTTCAAAACTAATACTTTTGTTTATAAAATCAATGCAAACTTACCTCTAGAATTCTCGTATTGGGAGAAACTTTGACAGTTTGTCGACGTCCATTCGGACAGAGAACGTTCACGTTGGATGCCATTTTCACAATTTACTAGTCTTCTTCCAGGCATCCTTTTTTTTCTTCTTCAAAGACTTTTAAAACCGGGACGTACGTGCGACTAGCTAGATAGATTGGGGGGGGGGGGGGGGGGGGGGGGGGGGGGGGGGGGGGGGGGGGGGGGGTGGGGGGGGGGGGGGGGGGGGGGTAGGAGTTGTAATAGGAGTTGTAATAAGGTACTACTAAAAATGATCGTGTTGTGACGTGATCATAATTATTCACAGAGTCATAGCTTAAAGGGTCAAGTTTGGGGTCATTTTGTAGAAACCTATAAAACTAATGTTTGCATTAAAGTTGTATAAAAATTTGATCATTTATAATTGGACCAGACGAAAATGAGAAACCGTACTCAAAATGACATGCTGTGAATTTTGCTGTGAATTTGAAGTGAATTAATCATGTACAGTTGTACTTTCTGGTTATTTTAAAGATAAAAGTTAACATATGTTTTGTTGTGAAACATGTACTAAAGGAACCTGTCTACAAAGACCACCTTTTGTGTTTCCCTTGGGCGGTCGCTATATAGACAGGTTTGAGTGTATTACTGCTACAACTACTTCTACTATTTCACCACAACCAACACAACAACAATCACCCCTAGCATGTCTACGTCAGCTACTAACAACTTTTGATTTGTATTTCTTGTTCTTTTCACTTTTGTATGTTGCCACTTTTTGCCCACTCACAAAAGCCAAGCATCAGTTTGTTTTTGCAAATACACATTTCAAATTATTTAAATCATTCTATGGGTACAAATATATACAAAGAGTAAATTAAATATATTTAAAAAAATGAACCATTTATTACAATTAATTGATTCCCAAAATATTACATTTCCAAGCTTACAGCATAACTCAATTCTACAAAACTTGATAGTTAACGCAAATTTCACAACATATAAATATTTTATTTAATACAATTTTTTTTATTTGAAAAAAAAAACAACCTTAAATCAAGGTTACTATATCTTTAAAGCATAGCAATTAAGAGACATTTAATCGAAGGAATAAACCATGCAATGAAAACCTAACCAAAAACTACATACTCCGTTCATCCTTTCCCTTTTTACTCTCCCTGCCTAAGTAACCAAGTTTCCTAACAAACCTGGGTTAACCGTTTTTTATATATGCTCAAATTATTAAAACTCTCAAGAAAAGAGACATCTTTCCTCATAGATGCATGTGTAATCACACCTTTATAAAAATCATTTCATTTTGGTCATTTTTTAAAAATTGTCCGAGAAGCACTATTGCTGCGACTCTTTTTACTACCAAAATACAGTATATTTGAGCTTATCATGTCTATGAAGCTACTATTTAATTGTCTTTTCATCGTATGCTCATGGACCCTACCACATGGTATGCTTAAGACAGATTTATGGAACAACTGCAACTGTGATAGATTCATAGAGATTCACTATGAAAAGATGTTCCATATATCGTCGCTGTTTTCAAGAAGTGACGGTAGTGAAAAAAAATTGCATTCACTTTGCGTGACGATTTTCCTCACTACTGCAGTGGGGGATCCAGGGGGGGGGGGGCCAGGAAGAAAAAAAAAACCATGTAAAATCACACGATTTTTTAACTTTTTGGGGGTTGGCCCCCCCCCCCCCCCCCCCCCCCCCCCCCCGTGGTGCTCAAGGGGGGGGGGGGTGCAAATTTAAACATTTTGGAGGACAAAAAAAAAAAAGAATGAGCTTACTACCCCCCCCCCCCCCCCCCCCCCCCCCCCCCCCCCCCTGAGCGATTTTCAAATTTTTGGGAGCAAAAAAAAAATAAGAAAGTTGGCCCTCTCCCCTAAGAAATCCTGGATCCGCGCCTGACTACCGTCACTTCGTGAAAACAAGGACGATATTTGCCAATATCATAAAGTGAATGATCAAATCATCATGCTCCTAAATTACATCCCACGTATCACCACACAAAAATTATAATAAAGTACAAAAAGAAAATTGAAAAAGAGCTCAAAATATTGAACAAACATTTCAGTTTTTCACATATCATGTAACATAGCATATCTCATTAGCATGGATTTGACACTTCAATTTGTTGATTAAAAACTGTTGTTTACGAAAAACACAAAAGCACCTTGACCAGCTTTATAATCACAAATGATAAATATCATTCTGTGTACCATTCCAAGAAATTGCAAGAGTTCAGTGTTTCAAACAAGAAAAATCTAGTCTTTTTTTCTTTCAATGTCTCAGAATGTGATTGGATTCTTGGACACAAATTGATTAATTTTTTGTTTTTCCACCAAGAAATGTAATAACGATCTTATCCATTATTCTTACCATCTAGATAATACAAGCATTAAAAAAAAAAGAGTATGTACATTCACTTGTAAATTTGCCAATGCTCCATGATGCACAAAGCTGAAGAATTTTATTACACATCTCTGTTAATTTCTGATTTCTTATTCTGTTCACAGTAAGGATTCAATAGCCTAAAGAGCCATGCTAGTATTCAATGATATTATGCTAAAATACAGCTACACTTAGTACATAAAAGAAGAAAATATTAAAAATCGACTCCACGCAGTCAAATATATGCCTCCACCTGCAACATAATCAGTATTTTTTAATTATTGGATTAAAGGAGGTAGCCCTCATTTGCAGACCCTGCCTAATTTTGATGAAGTAATATGCACTAGCACAATATTTTAGCACATTTATATTGACCCGTGACCTTTGACCTTTGAGTGCCTGACATGCGGAGGCATCAAAAGAAGGAGTAAAAGACATTATACAAATGTTTTAAAAGAGTTATACAAACTGTTTTGTATATGGTGTACGATGTACATTAACATCAAAAGCGTGTAACAGATGGCAAAAAACATATTTCACGATTTTTATAAATAGAAATGTATCTATATCTAGATGTGCAATATCAATGGCAATGTCTGGCCAAGGCTGAAGTTCCATAAGCTACACACATGTTGTGAAGTAAAAGAAGTAAAATAAGTTTTCTTTGAGTTTCATCACATACAAAAATGACAAGCTGCTTTTTAATTTATAATTCATGTATGCATTCATTTTAATATAAAACTTTATTGTCTGAATCAGGCTACCATGATAAAGGATATGAATTCAAAAATCAACAACAACAAAGATCATTCTGATGTACTTCAAAAAAAAAAAACTAGAAAGACAATTTACCAATTAAAAGCCAACTGCCACATTGTGATTGAAAAATTTACAACACACTGGTCGACAGCTCTCTAAGAGAGAGTACTTGTATGTGACAATATCAGAATACCACATAAGTTTGCTTCACATTTTGATAGGAATTTCTCACAGGAAATGGACCGGGTGTCGTTGCGACTTGCGAAAAACTGTCGGCTTTCTATCAATCCTGATCGTAGATATCATCTCTATCGTAATCACCGTCCAAGTTGACTGACATACCGACTGCTGGAGAAAGCAATAGGACAAGAATGGAAGGCATAAGAGAAAGAATGTCATTGGATGGTTTACAATATGATGCTTTCTTTAAATTCACCAAGGCAAAAGTGGGTAGGGTTCTACCTCTTGGGCAATCTAACAGATCATTTTTACCTTCATTTAGAGAGTATTTAAACATGCAATTTTTTTCCGCCTAGAAGTAATACTCAAAGCTGACATTCTGAATATAGTATAACAGCATGTAACACAAAACATTCAGAGAACATAGATTTTGCTCATCTATACGCATGCATTCGTTGGTACAGCATACAGCAAATAGGCTGAAGTTCGACTGGAAGAGTAATAGACCTGCTTAAACAACAATTTGGAGTAGAAGAAAGATGTGTAAACCGAGAGTCATGTGTTGCATGCACTGGACACCATTACTAGGCCTACTGACGATTAGAAAAAATGGAAACCAGGGCATCGTTTCACGAAACCGGCGTCAGTAAAAGTTCACTGGTATCTCATTGAAACACGTTTTTCAATTTAATATATGCATTTCAATGGGTGTCAGCGAACTTGAAGTTATGCCAGTTTCGTGAAAAGCTGCCATTTTCTCTAATTACAATGGTGGACGAAGTAAGACACAGCCATAAATCATCAGAATCATATACTGGAAAAAATATTTTGACAGGCAATCAAAGGTAGTGCCAAGTGTGGGCATGCATGAAAAGTATGATGATGCAGAAAATATAATTATTCAATTAAATAATGAGAAGGGATTGATGGCAACACAGGCATGTTAAGAGGAGTACTGTCGATTCGAATGCAAGGGGTGAAATAATAATAATAATAAGGGGTAAAAAATGAAGAATGACATGTTTTAAAAAGCATTATAAGATGGGTTCTAGAAACTAAGCAATCCCATTGGTCAATTGACATTACATGGGCGTGCATTAGTTATTCCCACCGTGCAAAACATCTCCCATCGTGCTCGATGCCTGCCGATATTGCTTTCGCGTAATTCAGCGAAATTTAATTCGTGCATAATTTTCAAGTGCTGATCTAACATTAGATCTAGATCTAATATCTATCTATACTCTAGATCTAGACTATATTGTAAGAATGTATTGCAAACCCGTCTTAAAATACAAATAATGCACTGTTTAGCTCGTGTGTTAGGGCAGTTCCAGTGCACTCAGGTTAGTCAGTGCATTACAACCTATGTGCACTGATTAAACTTTGTGCTCTGGCCCTGCCCTAACACACTCGCAACAGTGCATTATTTGTATAATTTTTTCCCCTGTAATCTTCCTTGCTATTGAAACATGCATATAATCTTTGCTATTACAGCTTACACATTCAAATCACACAATATTTAAAAACAAAGAAAGATGTAATAGGTTGGATTCACAATTAACAGCACCCCTGCCGGCAAGCCGCGACGGTCCAATTTTACAGCTCTCGGGTCGATATCTTTGAACCAGTGCAGATCGAAATGACTAAACAGGTCACGGAACTGTGTAAATGCATCCAATGAGATTGATTGTTCTGATATTAGTGCAAAATTTTACCCCTGATAAGCTATTAAAACTTTCCCCACAAAAATCAAGACTGAGCAGGAGAAATTCTCACTATATCGGTGTGACACCGATGAAAGAGCCACTGTGAATGCGTTTGGGAGAAAACAGCGATTAAAACACTGATTAAAATGGTCAAAGGTCGCAGTGTACACACGCTTTATCGTAACCAGCTGTGTTTGTTGACCTATGGTTGAACATGCTGCATGCTAGCTAGATGGAGCGCGGGCTTAATAATTACGCAATAATTCTTCACTTCCGGTTAGGGCTTGCCACAGCGAGTAAATTTCACCGGCAGTATGAAAGCGACAGCAGGGAAACGGCGGTTTCACTTTTGTTTACATAAGGAAAACTTAATCAGTATTTTTATCGGTGTGACTCCGATTGAAGCCAGTTTGAAAGCAGTATAAGGGTATATAATAATGCCACAGCTGGTATTTTTGTTGACTGCCCAAAATGCATCACATGAAGTCGACTAAAGACTGGTGTTGCTAGATGGCGCAGTGAATTGTGAATCCACCATATCATGGTCACCATTTAATCACATAGCTGAACAAGTAGATAATAGTGTAAAACAAAACTAGAGTCAAACAATTTGTCCATCTTTAGAGAAAAAAATTTAAAAATATAACAGATTCATTCAATGCATTATATTTTTTTCTAAAGCTCTTTGCCTGTATAGAAAAATGTTGTCCTATAACCTGCATTGATTGCTGATATGACCACAAAAGACAGACATGGTTTGTGTTTGCCAATGAAGGATGAATTGTACTGGTTTGGACATGGTAGTATTTCCATATTTTTTTAGCAGTGTGTTTGGGTGACTATAAAAGAAATGAAACAGGCATGATAACAGCATGCGAAGGAATGAGAGGAATTTGCATGTCACAAGCCTATAAAATGAAGACAACATGTACTGCATGACAACAATATCAATGTGTATTGTACCTTCTATGAATCGAACACAAATGGGGCTGACCACAACTACAAGTTATTTGTGTCTAAAAAGGGGTGAAGAAAGAGAGAGAGAAATTATTTGGTGGAAAAAAATGAAGAGAAGATTGAAAATTTGTGAGTATTCTGCAGGAAGCAAAAGGCTTAATGAACATGAATGTACTTGGATACAGACAGATTGGCTTATGGGACATGGAAAATAGATACTAATACCTACAGATTACTTCAGATGATATACAGTTTACAACTAAGTTATTCATACCCCTTGTACAAAAATGAAAGGTGGACTGGTTGAATTAGGGTCTTTTTTAAATACCTTTAGATGTAAGCTTTAATATGTCACATTCTCAAGAAACAAACATCGAGACAAATCAATAATGAATAATTAAGTTGTTAACTGTAAATTTATGGACATATTGGGGAATATTAAAGGTAGTACAAAGTTTTGGGAAATTTTGAAAATTAGGTGGATAGTGATTCTTTACAATTTTGATATACCGGTATTTGGATGCCCTCGTGGATGTATTATCAGCACTAGAAAATTCAGCCCCTAAAACACTGATGCTTTCAAGAAAAATTGAATATAAAAATTTACCAGTGCTCCCGGTAAATTTTGATAACTTTCAAATAGCGCCGTACAATGGTAGCCGCGACCATGAAAATCTCAGAATATATAGTTGTGATATATAATTTCCAAATGGGAATAGCTAATCGGTCGATTCTAGTCAAGAAACATTGTTGTATAGCTTAATTAATATTTTGATCTTGAGAGGGAGCTATACAACATAAAGAGTTTATTAATTACAATTTCATAACTTTAGACTTGATTTCAACCGCCACAACGATCACTGAATATTGTAGGATCGCATATGTTTCCAATATGTTCATTTGAACCAAATTCATGACCCCATACCAAAACTTTGTATTACCTTTAAAATCACTAACGTGTTATGTCAACGTCAGCGTAAATATCAATTGCAAGGGAGATCCTACACTCTTTCTTCTATAACATTTCTAAATCAATGTATTTTAAACAAACATGTTGATAATGCCTCCAGCATTGTATCTTAAAGATAAAGGTGAGTTCTGTTAATGCGATTGCATTGTGAAAGAAAAGGTGTGGAATGGATCAGAAAAAGTTGATCATGTAGCATTTAAGTATTGGTGTGCACTGCAAGGTTCTGGAGGACCAAAATCATAATAAATTTGGCCCAGTCTTGGTAAAGTAACAAGCACTGTACACAGAAAGATGTATATGGAACTACACAAATGGTGTCGGGCTAGCTAACCTTGATTTCCTTATCTTTCTATGCTCATTACTCAGCCAGTGTACATTTTCTTCCAAAATTGTTTGGCACATGATATTTATTTGTAATCTTGAACATTCAGTGTAAGTTTCGTTTGATTCTGTGAGATTTCATTTTTCTTTTTTTTATCAGAACTCAAATTTATCTTTAATATTCAATAATAATAATGTTCCATTCTTGTAATCCACTTCATTGTTAAATGTACAGTATTATAGAAAGTCTCTACTCTCTAGGCACTTCTAAAGAGCTTTTTATTGAAGAATGCTGAAAAGATATGGAGCTCTAGGTACTGAAAGCAAGCGAAATTTTGTAAAAGATTTCTATAACGAAGAAGGACAAAAGAAACAATCATTTATAGAATACAAGCAAGTTTTGAGCTTTAATGGCATTAAATGAGCAATAGAACTTCACATTATGCTAAAGGTGCTATTTTGCTGGAATTGAGAGAAAGAAAACTCTACCATCCATTCCAAAGGGCCATTGCGCTGGGAGTGCAATAGTGGAAAGAAATAAAAGATAATGGCACATTATCAAATTTATACCAAGTTAGTTTTAAAGAGGTATTATTCATCTTTATAGATTACTCATTCTATTGTAATTCTTGTTAGAAAACAAATCACACACACAAAATAAGTAAAAAACAACATCAAAAAAGGAAATATGTGTAGTTAATGAGGTAGTCTATGACCCACATAAATGTAAACATGTATTTACATATGTCATTTCATTACATACATTTCTATAAGAAGCCATTGGAATGTGTGGTAGTTGTTTATTTTATTACATTAGTCTTGGTTATTGATCAAGAATAGATTGAAGGATTTGAAGAATGAAGGAGCTAATGCACATATATTGTTTTTCCTTGTTTGTAATCTTTCATAGATCACATTTTCCTCTGCACTTTTCTGAACTGTGAATATTGTTGTGAAACTCACAATACTACAATGACTATAGTGAGAAGGAGTAATGAGGAATTTAAGAAAAAATAAATTAAAATACATTAGGCTTGGTTATTGATCACACATTTTTGAGATTTGAAGAATGAAAGAGCTATGAATGTACATGTATTTTTTTCTTGTTTTAAATCTTGTGATACCAGTTTGAAAGAAGATAATATGTTCCTCTGCACTCTTCTGAATTATGAATGTTATCATGAAACTAAACATACTAAAATGACATATAGTGAGAGGGAATAATAAGGGCTTTAAGAAAAAAGAAAAAAAGCTTACCTGGGTCATTTTGTCTTGATTCGAGTTGTGATTTCAACGTTTCTATCTCAGCGTTGAGTTTTCTATATTCCTACAGAAAGAAAGGAGAAGGAAAACCAGTTTTAATATAGAAAGGGCATTTTACAAATATCAAGAATAATTTCTCTTACAAGTCACAGACATATCATGAAAACCATTTTTTTGTATTGAGCAACGACATCTTCAAATTGAGAAGCAACTGGATAGCAATAGCATCATACTCTCTCTCTCAAAGACTGGAAACTTTTTGCTGCAAAACATATTTGTCCAGGGCCCCATCTTACAAAAAGTTGTGATTGATCCAAATCAATCGCAAGTTTGCAGTCTCCTATCTCATATGTACATAGTTGCGATTGATATCAACTCTTTGCATAAGACGGGACCCTGGTCTATCAATGATAATTGATATTTAGTGAAACATACCTGTATTGCAAATTTGCAGATAATTGAAATGATCCCTCTTCAAATTGGCCAAAAATGTAGTGAAATTAAGAACTGGTCTATATTTAGAAACAGATGACAATAAGGTAAGTGTTATAGAAAACCCTTTACTGTGCACAATACTAGGAACTGTGAATACAAACATGTAACTAGCTGGCCCTGAGCAACTAAGGTGCGCACAAACATTACTGCGGAACGTCCTTAAATGAGACAATCGCATCACATGACCTCTGCGACCTCTGACCTTTACTTTGACTTACGTCTTTACATGTGTCCAGACTGGTGAAATCATCAGGATGCGTCTCATGATCTTGTTTGGCAGGAAGGGGCCTCTGTTTGGGGTTTAGGACATACCCTGCAGACTCAAAGATAGTATGCAGCATCTTCTTATAGCCCTGCACATCAGAAAGGACAGGGAGACAGAGAGAGAGAGAGAGAGAGTGAGAGAGAGAGAGGAGGAAGGAAGGAAGGAAGGAAGGAAGGAAGGAAGGGAGAGAGTGAGGCAGTAAGGACAACAACAAAATAGAAAGAAAGAGATAAAGTAAGAAAGAGACAAAGAGACAAAGAGACAAAGGGAGAAAGAGAAAGAAAGAGAGAGAGAGAGAGAGAGAGAGAGGTGAAGAGAGAAAAAGAGGGAGGTTGGGTAGGGAGGAGAGAGAGAGTTGAATGGAGGGAGAAATAGATAACGATAAACAAAGAGACAGAAAGGGAAGAGATATAAATAGTAAGAAATTGGAGATAGAAAGAAAAAAAAAAAATTGCATAAAATGCCAATCCAAATATACAAATAAAGGAAAATTCATTTACGAACGACTTGCTATTGATAACCACTTCTCTATCAACCTCTTGCCAAAACTTGCCTAAAAATACAGGTCCACTAATATATCTTGAAAAAATGTAACATATATCTGCTTTATGAACATGAATTTTAACAGGAAACTAAGCCGTTGAGCAGCACCTAACCAAATGCTACTATTAACATAGACGTACATGTCAGAGTATGAAGAGCTCAAGTCACATTAGCAGTGCATATACAGTGAAACCTGTATATAAAGACCACTAAAGGGAGACAAGAAATGTTGTCTTTATGAGCAGGTGGTCTTTATGCACAAGGTTCCTTTAATACAGGTTTCAATGGGAAACTCTACTTAAGTGAGACAAAAAATGCAGTCTTTCTATACAGGTGGTCACTAAAGCAGCTTTGACTGTAGTACACTCTTCAAGGGTTGCCTCAATAAGGGTTCCATCACAACCTTTTTACCTTAGAAAGGGGAACAGAGTATTGAAGGTCCTTCTAAATCATTTATTTTTTTATTTTTTTATTTTTTTTATTTTTTATTTATTCGGTTTAAAAAACTTCAACACGTAAAGTTCAGGAACTCATAATGGTTGATTTACAATGAAATTGAATAGTGTAAACAAAATTGAACCAAAATATATTCACTTAAGAAAAATATGTTGTTTTACGCACATGAAAATATGATTACAATACAATATTCAACGGCTAACTACATGTAGCACCACCAAGGCAAGAGATGAGGCCCCCCCCCCCCCCCAGTTACCCTACAAGTAGAACAATTTGGGGGTCGTGAGTGAAATTCTGAGGGTCATTATGAGTTGGGGCCCCTGTTCGTAAGGGCCACAGCAAAGACTTTTCAAAGAAACTAGGGGTAAAGGTCTACTTGAACGAGACCAGCCTGAGCAGAGCGTACCTGTTGGGTGACTTCTTCTCTATACAACCTCCCTTCTAACTCATTCCACTCTGCTTGTTGATCTTCACTCAAATTGGGATAAACTGGAGAGGGAGAGAGAGGGGGGGGGAGAGAAAGAGAGAGACCGAGAGAGAGAGGGGGAGAGAAAGAGAGAGAAGGAGAGAGACCGAGAGAGAGAGGGAGAGAAGGAAAGAGACCGAGAGAGAGAGGGAGAGAAAGAGAGAGGAGAGAGACCGAGAGAGAAAGAGAGAGGAGAGAGACCGAGAGAGAGAGAGAGAGGGAGAGAAAGAGAGAGAGACAGAGAAAGAGAGACAGAGACACGGAGATGAAAGTAAGATTTATAAATTTACTGGTGCATGAAACAAAATTTGAAGGACTGAATACGATATCATATTTTGAGGGACTTGCTTAAATTACAATGTTAAATGAATAAACTAAACAGAGGTATTTTCACAAACATGTCAAAATTAAACTTACATGCTTAAACATCATAACCGTACATCTATCTCCAATATTTTCAAGTGACATACAAACCATCATCCCTGTATCTCCTATACTAAGAACAAAATAATCTCATCAAACATGATTCTTGATCTTTCATGTCAGATATTAGAAAACAAACAAAAATACTTATATCTTAATATCATTCAAGCATTCTGATGACACCTCATCAAAACTTACCAAGCAATGAATGTTCATGGCAAACAAGTGGCGTACGGAAAACCATAGCATACTCGCATGTGACAGGCTCCCCTACATGTTCTAACTCATGCTTTGTACCGCATTTCAGTTGTACCTGTGACAAAAAGAACAGTGATCATGATAACAACAATATTGATAACTACAACTATCTGTAGTATTAAGGTAGCAATTTTGTATACTTGTTTTAATTACCTAAAGATCATAATGAAAAACATATTTGATTTGATAAGGCACTTTTTGACAAGGATAGATGTTCATTAAAAAAAACAATGTGGCTTTTGGATAATAAAGATTCTTGTATAGTGATCATATGGATGCTGTGGGGCTGAAGGAGGTCTAACCATAGCTAATTCAACTAGAATACCAAGTACAGAGCTTCTAGCATTCCAGGTATTCCTTCCTACCAGGTACCCTTTGCCACACCCGGGTCGAGAGCGTCATCTTCATGAGTTTCAATGCAGCACTCAAAGTCATTCAGAAAATATTCCCATTAGATACTACACATAGTCCAAAGCTCATAATATTCGAGAAATTTTTCCCTACCAGGCACCCATTTGCCACACCTGGGTCGAGAGCGACATCTGCAAGTATTCCAATGCAGCACTCAAAGCAATTAAGCAACTCTTCCTTACAGATAATACACCTGGGTCAAGACAAGCAAATGCAGATGAACTGCTTGTCTTGTGGGCAAGCATCAGACAGAGATTGACAACAAGAACATTTGAATGCAAAATCAAGTGACCAGACTAACCCACCCCCTAGAAAAAAAAATTTTTTAAATGAAAACTAGAAGTAGGTACTCACTTTAACTTGTCTATTTTTCTGTCCACACGTATCTCCATCTCTGAATATCATGGACTGGAATGTATTATTCACAATATCCCATTCTTCGTATATCCTGTGGATAAGATATAGAGAGATGAATGGAATATTATACTTCTGGCACAGCAGTTCAGCTCAGTTCACTTAGTTTCATTCAATATTATTTAAAAAAATGATCTACATAATAAAAACATGCAGTTTCAGGGGGAAATATAAACACAACTCAAATAACTCTTGTACAAATGAATCGCTATAAAGCAGAAAAAAGCACAACTCTTAAACAGAAAAGGTTTTGACTAGACATCTTAATAAATAATTTAAATTTAAAACGACGACGAAGTACACACTCCAGCAGTATCATGATACAAGAAATTGAAGCATGAATTACTACACAGGTCTAAATATAAATGAATATATTTGTTAATATGTTTATGAACAAGATTGGTAAATTTCTACATTCTAAGTCAAATTGAATATATAAAATGCTTTAAATTACTACTTATAACAATAGTCATGATTTAAATGAGTCAATATTGTTTTCAATACCAGTGAGGGTAAAACATGACCCTCAAAATATCTGTATGTTCTACAAATTTGCTTACTAGTGTTAAAAGAGTTAAAAACTATTACAGTAACAAACTTCCTACAAAACTATCTTTCCCGTACAGATAGGCCTCATCTATTAAGGGGTGAAAAAATAAATGAGCTTATAATTTTACAAAAATATGATTACATTCATGGTATACTTTTAATTGTACAGTTCAATTGATTGGAACTAATGAATAGAATGTTGACTAAGTTTATTATTAAAAGAAGTGACTAAAAAAGAGATCAGAAAAGTAACTTACCCCAGTATTCCACTGTAGGGGTTCCATCTTAAGCTCTGCTCATGTTGTGTTACATTTTGAAACGGGCATAATTCATACTTGTAACTGTAATTAAAAACAAACAAAGAGTGTATACATGTATTACTGTCATCAGGGCTCCACACTAACTTTCTTTGAAGTTTTAGCTTTACTCCTTGTATATCAATTTCTCTACTGAATGTTTAATTATATATTTTATATCATAGTATTTGCATGTATTTCAGTATTTTTATATGATGCCTTTTTATTTGTAAATTCCAAGATATATATCAGCTTTGAGATGTGACTTTGAATTTTTATCAATATACCTTGCCAATTCAATTTCTCTCAAATCTAAAGGTTCTTCCTGTAAGTTGTAAGTTAGAGTAAGAGCAGATATCTTCTAATATACTCACTCATTTTCAACTAATGAAAAGCATCTTCCTACTAATCTTCGTAAATGTGGTGGACCTGGAAAGTAAATGAAAAAAAAATGTATACAGTAATTGCTTAAATATAATAGAAGACACATGTTGTCATCAGATAACATTTAACATGAATAGAAAAAAATTCAAACAGAATATTGTAGGTTCTTATTTAGATTACCTCATAATGGAAATAATGTGATGAAGGTAACTACAAGGTATTTTTTTCTTACCAACATAGAAAATTACATCAAACTACACCATTTCCATCTTGCACTAAATATTACAAAACAGATTCATTTCAAAGAGTTCAATTATTTGCAGTGTTCATGCAACATACATTTGGTTTGAAACCAAGATTGCCTCTAACTACAAATTACAGTAACATAGAATTTATAGAACTGCCATACCTGTAAAATTTGAAAATTGAACTGTTGGAAAAAGAGATTTAGGCTGAGCTGGGGCATTCCATTGCTGGTTGCTAACAAGAGAAAAGAATTGTAAAGAAAAGAAATGATTGCATTAGAAAAAACACCATTAGCTGTCATTTATTATAGGTAAACATATATATATATATATATACACTGTTGGTCATAAAAGTGGGATAATTATTTACACAACTTGACTTATATGACTACTAACAAATTTGTGCATTCTTCTTACCCAAGATTTATAGGCTCCTCTACCAGTCTCATCCGAACCTCTTCGCTGGAAACTGAACCTAGAGTTTGAAAACATTCATATATTTTTTAAATATCGATATAATCAATATAATATATCACTATAAGACTTTTCTTTGAAAGCATCTATCAAATTGATCCTTTCAGGTAGGGGAGATATTTCACAAAACTTGTCATTCAATGAAAGCTTCTCATACAACTTTTGAGTCCAAGTTTGGATTATAATGAATTCTCAAGAATCAAGATTCAATCAAAAGAGTAAAACACTTTTATAAATTAAAATAAAATTGTTGTGTCCCCACACAAATGACCTTGTCCCTTACATAACTGTGGGTGAAGAATTCACTATCAGTTTTGTGTTAGATCCATGGGTGTGTCCCGACACTTTACAAAATTGTAACCTTCTCTTTTGCCTTTGGATTTAATGAAATATTTGCATCAAATAACACTAATTTATGCAGCACAAAACGTACAACCATTTGGTACAAGGGTCTGAAAATCAGACTATTACTTAGGTATTGCAATCATTTATGTCGATTCGAGAACTAATGGTCGTTAATTTCCCACAAAAAGCAATTTTCAACCCCTTTCGTTTAGAGGGAAGTTCTAAATAAGTATTGTCTTTCAAATGCCATTGGAATTTAACCTTTTCTCTTTTTTTTGACCTGCAAATGGGACATATTACCTTTAAAGGCCATCTGTACTAGTTTGGCTAGGAGGGATTAGACCACCCAGGGTGGTCACTGACAGGTGGCTATCTCATCAACTCAGCTCTCAATTAACATAAGAAAAAGTGGATCATGGGGGACCAATGGTCATTGAGGGGGTTGTTTCCGATATAGATGGAGGAAGTAGCTACAAGTAGTACGGTGGGGCTTTAAGAGAATAGAAGAGAATCATTTGATATAGCCAGGTCTACATTTGTAGGCCTATTCAATATTTGATTTTCATCTCTGCAACCTATGTAGGCTATGTACTGTAGCAGAATAATACTTGAAGAGTCCCTGAATTAGGCAAACTAGCAGATGTAAGTAAATTAAAATCTTGCATCCATTGAAGGATAATAACAACTTGGATTGAAGTTCAAGAACTTTTCGACTTCAATTCAGGCTCTTCTTCTTCTTCGCCTCCTCTTACCAGTAGGGGCACTGGTCCGCAAATAAGGATCGTCCGCATAAGCTAGGATCTTTTTGTAAACGCAGACAGAAGCGTCCGCAAAAATAAAGGATCGTCCACAAAAATGCAGAAGATCCTTATTTTTTAGGCCACGATTTGTTTACGAGGATATCCTTGTTTATGCAGACGATCCTCATCTCATTCTCAGACCAGCGACCCTACTGCTCACTCACTCTCACTCAGGCTCTCTTCTCTTCTTTCAATTTCTTTGACTTTACTCCCGGCTCCCCTCTTCTCTAGGCACATTCATGGGGCACTAGAGGGCGCTTCGGTCGCGTACGAAAATCTGAATGGCCTTGCTGCGGTGGGTCGGCAATAATCAGCCCAAAACTTGGATATGGGAGGTTGGAAGGATATATCTTTTTTATAATGTTATCCGGTCTTACCCTTAACCATCCTATGTTTAATCTATGTAGGAATAACATGCGAGTATGATAAGAGAAACATCGGGACCATTACTGAAGTAACTTTTAAAATATTAGCCTAGAAATGACCACCAAACAGAAAAAATTGACATTTTTTCCCGACAAATCTTCATAAAATCTGAGTTATAAACAATTCACATCTAGGTACACTAATACAAATACGATTTTCTGAAAATTCAGGTATGATTTTAGAAGTTTCTTTCAAGTATATTTCTGCGCATTGCAGCGCCAATATTCTACACTGCTTCAAAATCACCCTTGATTTTTTTTTTTGCAACGAATTTGATACGAGGTCCGCGAGTGTTCCCCGTTCCTTGCGTGTTGAAAGTTTGGCAATACATAGTTTGCATTGACTCGCGCACGAAAAAATGGTCAAAAACAAAATGTCAAATGAAGAAATAAACAAGCTTTTGTATAGTTATAAGAGTTCCACCGAGGTTTCTTTGTCGATTTAATTTATTATATAGTCTCAATTAGAATTCAGAATTATCTCACTGAAAAGTTAAGAAACCGACGATGTTCTCGATCGTAGTTATTTTCATTTTGCCAGCAGCCGATCTAGCGTTGTTTGGGCAAGAAGCTAGGCCACTGCCTTCCCACCGCGAACCTTTCCGAGTCCCGCTATAATGGCGCGCTGCGGAGCTCCGAAGCTGCGTTGGTATCGCTGCAAACTCTCAGCCGGCTAGCTCCCCACGACGGACCATTCGCGGTATGGTGAGAGTGTGTGTGTGAAGTATGATTTTGGATTCGAGAACGCACGTAACGCAACCGTGCGCGTCATTTAGAGCTGTCGAATGTGTACGACCAATTTTACATGTACGATTTTTAGTACAGATACTTGGTCAGTTTTCTTCTTATATCTTTGGTTTTACAACATTTAAAAATATAATTTCTTCAAATCTGCTCCTGACTCGGTTCAGACTAATTGTCTGATGTGTTTTCAAGTCAAGTTTTTGAATATATTTTTTTGCATGAATTTGCCTATCTTCTCTTCTGCACGGTTCGTTCATGTCGCAGTCTCAACAGTCCCACTAGCACTAGATCTACACTAGTCCTATCAGTATCTGTATGATTTGGTCAGCAAAATGTCCTTTCCAGACACATCCACGCTAACGTATTTGTAGACAGAGCACGCTGTGTGTGGGTTGAATCAAATCAAATTATTGGGAATGTTTAAGTAAATTGTTCTTAAAAGTGGTTAATGATGGGCTGTTTACTATGGAGGTTGGGAGGTTATTCCAGTCCTTGATGGTTGACACAAAAAAGGAATCCTGGTAGGCTCTAGCTTTGTGGCGAAGTTGTAGGAACTTCTGGTTGTTCCCCCTGGTTTCTCTGGGATTCGGTTGTACATAGTCATACAAAGGAATGTCGACCAGTCCATTCTTCATTTTGTATAACATGCTGAGTCTCTGGTTTCTCCTTCTAGTTTGAAGCGATTCCCATCCTAGGTCTTTTAGCGCCTTGGTGACTGTGCCTTCTTCTCTACTGTAGTTGCTAGTACAGAATCTGGCTGCTTGTCGTTGGACACGTTCTAGGGACTTGATATTCTGCTTGGTAGAGGGATCCCAAGCTGACGATGCATACTCTAGTCCTATTTTGTGCAATTCCACATTGAAGAAAGTGAAAGACATGAAATAGAAACAAACCGAGTGGACCTTTTGACTTTGAGTAGGGAGGCCAATGCCCGGGCGTAAGGCTTCTACACCTACGATTTGTGCGCTCGTCGCCCACTTCAAAAAATTAGCAAAGGGAAAAAAATGATGTAAAAATAAAAATTGAAGAAAATATGAAAAGAAAATACAATTATACATTTCACAACATACCTATAATCACGGATCTGTAACAGTCTTTCACCATTTGTTGACAATCTTGCAGATTTTGACGTTTTTTAATCCAATAATTGTGGTTGCAGACGACCTTGACGCACTCGCACCACCGACTAAGAAAATCCTAGAGGGCGTAGAGGTTTGCTCACTAAAAACCTTCTCATTGGCAGAAGGTAGACCCTAAAAATATGGGATCCGTTTTGAGTAAAGAACTTTTGATAGAGATCAACATTTCAGATGTTCACAATTGCCACTTCTAACAACTAGAAAATATAAAGAAAAAAGATTATATCTTTTTAAATACAGATTTTTACAAACTGAACATTCGAAAGTAGATAGAGTACGATGTTTCTGTCAATCTTGCGTTGGTTTGAGCCCTATAGCTACATCCATCTCAAAATGAGAAGGAAAACAGTGAACAGTGACGTCATTGTTCGCGCCAAAAATAAAGGGTATTGCGACATAATCTGAGCTCCGGTCAGATCGTGCGCAAAGCGTAGTCTTATTTATAGACCCTAGTACCTTATTCTCACAGCACTAGATACGAGTGTCGTGCAGTAATGTATGAGAAGTGTTAAAAAAAGATATTTCAGTAAAAAAAAAAGTCTACGTGAGCAGTCTATACTCCAATTGAGAATTGAAATGAAAGCCATGATTTGAAGGTGTGTGTTGTATGATACATGGTTAGTGAGTGTGTATGTTACGTATAGCGAAAGGGAGAGAGAGAGAGAGAGAGTGAGAGAAATATTAGTACACGTACGTTGCATGCATGCATGGATGTGCGCTATGATTGTGTTCGCTGCAAGATGGATTTTAATTGGACCTCGTAACTTCTCGATCGTTGATAATAAGGAATACTCATGAGGAAATCAAATTATTGGAATACACATCTAAGGTAAATATCAATGAATTATATATATTTCTTTCCTTTTTTGAACCATCGTCTTCGGCTCGTAGTAGTAGAAGATGTAATCGTTCGCACATTGATGGCTGGACTTCAGCCTGCATCGGGGCTTGCCTGTGTCGGTGGAGGGATCAACTAAGAAGAAGAAGGTGTGTACGTGTACGTGTGCGACCGATTCAAGGCTAGCCGCTGTTGAGTGATTGCACTTTCGCGCGAAGTTTTAAACTTCATCATGAACTTTGTCCCTCGGGCCTGTCTAATTATGAACGTAACTTTGCGACATGAAATATAATTGTTTCAAGGCTCTTACGTACGGAAAGGCGTAGAAGGAAATGGCTACAAACCAGCTGGATATCTCCTATTTGATGGAACCTATGGAGTCGGCAGATGGGTGGATTTTCTTAGTGAAAGTAAATGCTTTCTTTTAATCTTAGTTTTAGTATAAACAAATTAGTAATTAAAAAGTTAGATTTGGGCATTGGCCTCCCTACTTTGAGCGTGAAGACTGCATGCTGCACTGCAACTTTGTTAAACCGCTGCACCGTCGTCTATGGCGGACATACACAAAATTGAACGAGTGGGACTGTCATGCCTGCGACGTGAGGCGGAACGGTACAACACGAAACTTGCGATTTAACCATATTTACATCTCTAATATTGTTGTTAGATATCAATTACATACTCTCAATCAACTTCCGACTCATAAAATCGCACATACCTTGCTCAAACAGTAAAATAGCTTGAATAACATAGAACCAAATTTTGTGGACACAGTGCGCGGCCATCTTGACTTTGCAGTCGTGGAATATTGAAACTCCCGGATGTTAAATGTGCGTTCTGTTTGTAAACATGGAAGGTCATCGTACTCAGGAGCTTGCCTCCCGGCTGCGTTATTTTTTTATGCGGCACAGATTGGGGCATGGTACGTGTTGAGCCTATGGGAAGTACGTTCTTTCCCTTCTGAATAATGTCTGCACGTACGTGAGACTAGGCATGTTCCTTGCCTCAAGCCTCACAGTAAAGGGTCTCACTCAAGTAGATGGGACTCGAGACAGAGCAGAGGTGGATCGGGGATTATCATAACCATATTTGTTTTTATTAATTTTTTTTTGGGGGAGGTGGGATGAGAAACACTGAATATAAACAGAAGAAGGAGGAGGAGGAGAAGATTATTGTTGTCTTCTACGAAGAAGAGGGAAGAAGATGATGAAGAAAAAATAATTATAATAATAACATGTTAATCAATCATTAGAAAATCTAATTTTAAATTCTAATTATCTTTACATCTCGTGAAAATAACGCTAAAAAGAACTCCAAAGATAATACACAGTTTTGGTATGGGGTCATGAATTTGGTTCAAATGAACATATTGGAAGCATTATATGCGATTTTACAATATGCAATGATCGTTGTTGTGATTGAAATTGAGTTTAAAGTGATGAAATTGTAAATAATAAACTCTATATGTTGTATAGCTCCCTCTCAGGACTAATACTACTAGCTTTAAAACAATGTTTCTCGGTGACTACACTGTTGCTCATAACGGTGGAATATTTTTTTTTTATCCCAATTTATGGAATTATTTTAAAAATAATTTAAAAATACTAGATCTAGATAATAGTATACAGTCTCAGATTTTATTGAATAATAATTTGCCAATATGTGTTTTGCGTGACTGCTAAAGCATGTCTGTTATGCTACTATGTTTATCAACTAGGGGACCTATGCCCTTAAGTCATAAATGACAGTAATGAGGATTAATGCGTCACAAAAGGGCACTAATATAGCACATCGACACGGTGTTGATCCTGGGGCCTCACAGTTATGAGGCCATTGCTTTGTCACTGAACCATGACTGTACGTAGCAGGGGCTAGGGTAGGGGGCAGTTTCCATAAATTTTAAAAAAAACAGAAAATGCAATAAATTTTCAATAATTTATTACATTCTACCCCGGTCCCCAACATAAACAAATCTTCTGTGTGCCCATGCATTGAGCCATAATGCATGGCCGTCCAGAGGATTTTTTAATGTTGGGGACCGGGGTAAAATGCAATAAATTATTGAATATTTATTGCATTTTCTGTTTTTTTTTTAAATTTATGGAAACTGCCCCCTACCCTAGCCCCCGCTACGTACAGTCATGGTTCAGTGACAAAGCAATGGCCTCGTAACTGTGAGGCCCCAGGATCAACACCGTGTCGATGTGCTATATTAGTGCCCTTTTGTGAGGCATTAATCCTCATTACTGTCATTTATGACTTAAGGGCATAGGTCCCCTAGTTGATAAACATAGTAGCATAATATACATGCTTTAGCAGTCACGCAAAACACATATTGGCAAATTATTATTCAATAAAATCTGAGACTGTATACTATTATCTAGATCTAGTATTTTTAAATTATTTTTAAAATAATTCCATAAATTGGGATAAACAAAAATATTCCACCGTTATGAGCAACAGTGTATATATCGACTGATTTGCTATTCCCGATCGGACATTGTATCAGAACTGCATATTCTGAAATTTTCATGGTTGCAAGCAATTACCATGGAATGGCCTTATATAGGCGCTATTTGAAATATATGAAATTTATGATTTGTGATTATTCGATTTCTGATGCAGAAGTGTTTTAGGGACTATATATTTTAATGCTTATATTACATCCACAGGTGGATCCAAATCCATCCAATTTTCAAAATTTCCAATAACTTTGCATTATCCATTACCTTTAAAAAAGTAACGAAACGGGATTTTTGTTTTGCTTAAAGGGTCTCGTGTTGTATGTCCTGATAATAGGGAATGTGTTATTTGAACCATTCTGAGCAAAAGTCACTTTCCGCATCTTATGGTCGAGGCACCTGCCAATGTTAGCCCATTTAGATAGGCGTGTATTTAGAGCAACGTCGATCTGGCGCTGCTCAGTGGCTGCTGGGCTCACGATCAATTGGGCAAAAAGAATTTTCGTTTCGGTTTAATAAAATTTGGAGTGGACTAAAAGATTATTATTATTATTATTATTATTATTATTATTATTATTATTATTATTATTATTATTATTATTATTATTATTATTATTATTATTATTATTATTATGTACTATCAGTTGATGCATACAATATTCTAGTAATAATTTCCTGAATAAAGAAGTGATCACAAAATAACGAATATCTGCCAATTATATACAATAAATTTTTATTAATATTCTGAAGAAGAAAAAACACACTACATCAATACATTCAATAAACTATCTAACTTACAATTATTCAATTTCTCTCCATGATCATGAAAAATAAAAAAAAGAATACAGATGAAATACGCTAAATAACATTTAGTGAGATTGAAGAAAAAACAGATAATAACCCGTGTTCAGATAGCATTTTTTCTTTTAGATGAACCTTAGACAAAAATTAGACACATCACACATGCAGCGATTGAATTGCACAGACTGGAATGAATTAGACTTGTAAAGGTCGGAGAGTTCGGAGTACATGCATGGTAAACGTTTTGTAGTGAAGGGTCATTCCTAATAATTTTCAAATTTGTTGTATCGTCAAAACATGGATGATTCAAAGGTCTCTTTAGTAATGTTAATTTTCCTTATGTAAATACAAAATATCATCTACAGCAATATTTTAAGAAAACAGATGTTGAAGCAAAACACATCTCGGCGATTCTGTTAAAATGTGCACCGACGACAAAATTATGACATGTACGCCTATTTCTTTGTTTCGCCCATTAAACGAAAATCTCTTAAAAGGTCATTTATTAATAGTTCTTTCAGGTACTACGTATTATTAAATGGTCATGCCAAGAGACTTTTCACTTGTTATACGGGACATAAGATATTAAGATTTGAAATCGTCCATTTGTATATCCTTGATCTTGCATCATAATATTTTTAATAAAATATTAAAGTCTGATTTATGACAACTTTAGGTTAACAAT